CACCACCGGCACAGCCCGGAGGACAGCAGGGATGAAGGCTTTGTGGGGCCATGGGTTGGGATGACACCGGGTTTGATGAGCGCTGGAGAACTCACCTGCTGAGCCGGTGCAGCCGATGTGAGCGGGATCTTCCAGGCGACCCAGAGCATCCTGCACCATCTGCTGTGCCGCCCGCGCCGTGCCCTGCAGCAGGGCAAACTGCTCCTCGGCCAGGCGCTGCTGCAGCGCCCGCTCACCACTTTCCTGCCAAACCGGCATGGGTGTCATGGCCCCCGCCACGCCGGCCGAGAAACCCCCTACACCCCACCGCTGCCGAACCCCCGCGGCTTGGCAGGGAGGGGCACGCCAGGGTGCCCCGTGCCAGCGGTGCCCATGGAGGTAACTTGTCTCTCAGCTGGGTCTGCAGCATCTTCAGCTCCATCCTGCTCTCCTGCTTGCACCTCAGCGTGTCCTGCAGCTGCTGCAGCTTGGCTCGCAGGGTGGCCACCTCCTCCCCGTGCCGCTCTGCTGCCCGGCTCAGGCTGTCCCGCTCCTGCTCCAGGCCAGCAATCCGGGTGCTCTGCTCCGCTCCTGCCTGGAAAGGCAGAAACCAGCAGTTGAGGCTGTGCTGGGGGTGAAACCTCACTTTTGAGGACTTGGTCATGGTTCAGGTTCAGGCCACTCCAACCATCCCCGCTCGCTGCATCACAGCTCATGCAGGTCACAGCCTTGCATCACTTGCTGCCTGGCAGCACCCTTGCAGCTGGCTCCAGACCCCCTGGGGAGCCTTTTCACTTTTATCAGCAAAAATTCACTTTTATTATCAGTGTTACCCCGATGCAGGAGCGCATGAAGGGTGCTAGCTTCCAGCCCTGGAGCCAGCTCTGCCCCATCCCCACCCTGCTGCAATGTCTCTGCCCACCCCAAGGATGAGCAGCTCCGTGTTCCTGCCAGTTTCTGCCTTCTACAATGAGCCTGAAAAACCCCAGTTGTCCTCCACAGCACTGTAGGGGCGACAGACCCCTTGGCACAGCAGTGTCCATGCAAAGGCTCACAATGTGATGGTGCACTCCCTACCTGGGTCACACAGCAGGCAGAGCCACCCTGCCTGACCACACTCGCACAGGGATTTTGTTAAATGAAGCCATCGCTCCGCACGCCTTTGCACTCAGGAGCATTAAACCCCCAGTACGACCACTAAACCCATCTAGGTGTGGTGAGGGTGCAGGCAGGGAGCTGGTTATCAGGCCAACCATGGGTAATGCCCAGATGGTGACACCTCACAGAGCTCCACTTCACCCAGGGCGCCTGTGGGGTCCCACCTGTGTGCTGGACTCCAGCGTGCCCTGGAGGACCTGCAGCTCCTGCCTGCTTGCTGCCAGCTCCCGCTTCAGTGTGTCCAGCACCTCTGCCTGCTCCTGAGACTGCGCACAAGAAGAGAGAAGTTACCAGCACCCCGTAGAGGAACCCCCACAACCCCTGGGGTATCCCCCCAACCCCACTCACCTTTCTCTGCGCCTGCTCGCTCACCCGCTGGAAGGAGTCCTCCAGCTCCTTCTTCTCCCTCTCCACGTCCCCCTGGGCCTGCCTGGCCACCGTCACCTGCTTGGTCACCTCTGCATTCTGGGGATGGCAGAGGAGCTCAGCAACCCCCGCCACCAGGAAGCACGGACAGGAAGGGGCGCGAAGGGGAGTTTTGGGGAGCCCACCTTCCGCAGCAGGTCAGCGTGGTTCTGCACCAGCTCGCTGTA